GTGGATGTGCTGATCCCGTTGAGGGCTGATCCCGTAGATGGGCTGATCCCGTTAAGGGCTGATCCCGTTTATGGGCTGGATTAAGTAGTTGGGCCATGGGCTGAATCCATGGTACCATCAACACTTATATTTAATACTTTAAATTTAATATATAAAGTATATATTAAGTAGATGTAATATGTATGTATTAAGTATATATTAAGTAGATAATAAGTAGAGATTAAGTAGATAATAGATATAAGTAATATAATATATGTATTTATAAGTAGATAATTAATATATAAGTAGATAATAAGTAGAGATTAAGTAGATAAATGATGGTACCATGGACTCTGACCATTGCCCAATTACATAATCCAGCCCATAACGGGATCAGTCCTCTACGGGATTAGCCTAATTAACAGGATTAGCCCATCAGCGGGATCAGTCCATAAACGGGATCAGCCCATAAACGGGATCAACCCATCAATCGGGATCAAAGATAATAAGCCGCTGAGCCTAATTGGGAATCAGGCCCACGACAGGAACCCACAGCCAGGCCGGGCTGGACAGCAGACCTCGAGCCCGGTGCAGGCCTCGAGCCTGGAGCAGACCTCGATCCCGGAGCCGACCTTGAGGCTGGGCAAGCAGGCCTCGAGCCTTGGCGGAGTTCTAGTGAGGCCGGGATATTCCTAAGGTTTACGTAGCAGGCAGGACTCGTCCGGAGTTTGGAAACAAGAAGGAGACAACTAATGCTTAACGACCAAGGCATGAGAGGAGTTCTATTTCGAGCAAGAATATAGTTCATTAATTAGCATTTATTGTATTAGATTCCTCCTAAAATATCAACTCCTAAAGCCTATAAATACTCATGTACATATCTTGTAAAAGGGGTCTCTCTCGAGATGAATAATACTCTTATTACTTTCTCACGATCAATGAATATTTGATTGATTAAGCTCTTTTCGCTGGAATTATATTCCATCAGTGCTCTCGTTGAGAGCTTGATCAACAATCAAGTTAGATCCTCCCAAAACATACGAAATTCATCACATCACAAAAATACCCAACAAAATTCGTAGAACCCTACTGCTGCAACACGTTTTTCATCGCTGCGACTTCGTTCACTATTGGATCGGGCTGAAATTTTTGCAGCATGTTCGTGACTTCTGGGACTCCAATCTGAACAGTTGGATCGGTGAGAAGATGTCTACAGTGGAAGAAATCGATCTCGCACAGCAGCAGCAAAAATCTGCTGCAACATCGCCCGACCGGAAGTGACGCTCCTGTGGACAAGCCGAAGGTGAAGAAACATGGTCGGGGCCTTAAGGCTAAAGCACACGCTGCCGGAAATCATAGAATCCGAATGAATTTGATCCTATCTCTCCTGCAACGACAGCGACGAGATTCCACATGTCTCCCAAGCCTTCGATAGCAGCAGTCTTTTTCCAAGTGCTGTGAAATTCCATGAGCAACTTATTGGGTTGTAATCCATTCAATCAATCCACGGCCAGACATGATCACCCATATCAAAAGCTAAGTATTCTAGTTGTAGCTTTAATTATCATACGTTACGATTATATTCCAAGATCAAATTTGGTCAAAAGACATTACAAAATTATCAAAATCATGATAAAAAATATAATTATTATAGTATCACTTTGATCTCGGGGGCTAGTCATCCCGAATATCAAATTCAAACTACACAGCCCGAGCAACGAGTTAAGCTATGTCATTATTATTTTTTATTATTGATTGATGTGCATTTTTTGACATTGAAGAACGGACTTATGAACACTCAAATACGCCTGACCGAGTACTAACACTCAAAAGCAAAAAAAAAAGAGTACTAACACTCGCACTACCAGATCACATTAGACGAGTGTTATTTATAAGCTCGCGGTCTAAATGTCATATACTGCATACTTTCGTTCAAGTTTTACACGCCTGCCGGGATAGGTACTGTAAGAGGGGATAAAAAAAGGGCTAGAAGTTGCTACGTGAGAGCTTGTAAAGCTCATAGAAGGAATGAAGTCAGTATGAATGCCATCGAGCAGGACTTGTCGAAGTTTGAGGGCAGTTCAAAGCTCAGCCTGCTTCAGAGCTCGAGGAGGTTGGAGTTGATCCGTCCCAACCTGAAGTTCGGGTTAAAATCGGTGCAGGACTCTAGGATATGGAACCCCCAGAAGCATCAAAGAAGTCCATATTCTGACTGGAAGGCTAACAGCCCGGGAGAGATTCTTGTCCAGATCGGCGAACAAGGCCCTACCATTTTCCAAATCCTGAAGAAGAGCAACGGGTTCCAATGGACTCTAGAGTGCCAAGCTGCATGTGAACATCTCAAGAAATATCTACAATCAGATCTATTGCTTAGCAAACATGAGGCTGGCAAAACCCTCATTCTCTATTTAGGGGTCACTCAAAGTGCAGTCAGCTCCGTATTAGTGCGCAAGGAGGAAACCACGCAGAGGCTGGTCTGCCACATCAGCAAGATCCTCCACGAGGCTGAGCTCAAATATCCAGCCCTGGAGAAGACCGCCCCGCCCTTGCAGTATATGTAGCGGCCAAGAAACTGACATATTACTTCCAGGCTCATCAATCCCATCAATGTGCCGTCAGACCTGGGAGTTGGAACTTTGTTCAGAACGGTCAAGACCGTGAGAGTTGTGAAGTGGTCCCTGCTAATCAGCCAATATCAAGGTTTAAAGGTTGCGGAGAAGGGGTGGCCCTCATCACCCCTGAAGGCTTCAAGACTTATCATGCACTCAGATATAAGTTCAGCCTATCCAATAACGAAGCTGAGTACGAGGCCCTACTGTCAGGCCTCAGGATGGCAATTCACTTCAAGATCCAGAAACTGATGATCAAAAGCGACTCTAAGTTGGTAATCAAACAACTTAGAGGGGAATACGGAGCCAAATAAGAACGAATGCAGAAATACAGGGATACAACCCTGTAACTTATTACACAGTTCGCGAAGTCAGATTTGATGTGTGTTCCACAAGCCCAAAACATTGAGGCAGATATCTTATCGAAATTGACAACAGATGCACCTGAACATCTCATGCGCATAGCTCGGATATAAGGGCTGAATAAGCCTAGCATCGAAGTCACAAAAGATCTCGAGGTCTTCCCTATCGGACAGGCTCAAAAATCCTGGCGGGAAGAACTAAAAGAGTACAAGGAGATTGGAACACTGCCTTCAAACGAAGAGAGAGCAAGGCTAATCAAAAGATAGGCTCCGAACTATGTCATTGAGAATGACAAACTTTACAAAAGAAGCTACAATGGCGTGTTACTCAAATGCTTAAGGCAAGAACAAGCTCAGCAAGTGATCAAGGAGTTGCACGAAAGGACTTGCTCCTCACACCAAGTGTGAGACCTGCCAGAAGTTCTAAACAAATCCTGGCAGGCCTGCTACGCTTTACCATCCCATCAGCACTGTGATTCCCTTCTCCAGGTGGGGAATAGATCTCGTCGAGCCGTTCCCTCCAGGCTCAGGAGGTCGGAAGTTTGTTATAGTCGCCATTGATTACTTTACTAAGTGGGAACAACTTGGGTGGACGAGCTCATCAATGCGTGGAATCCCGAACACTTGATGAAATTCTACCAGTAACTATGTAGTTCTGTTTCATTCTAATGCAATTTGTTTTCTTTCACGAAAGTCCTTATAAAATTGCGAAGGTTTCTTAACCAGCCAAATCGGTACTCGCAAAAAGCCAAAGTACAAATTCCAGACTCATCCAAATTCTGAAGCTCAACTTTGTCTTATCAAAAGACGAGAGCAGGAATACAAGATCTTTTTCAATATCAAACAGCCTTATAAACAAAATCAAATTTCCTCAAACAGGAAAAGATGGCCTTTCTCAAGGCCAAGCCTGATTTACAAAGGCTAAAGGATGAACTAAGGGAGTTAACTTTGCACTGGAGAGGCCACCAAGCCTTGCCAATTAAAGAGGTTCATCACAAGGCTTAACTGACCTAAGGTGAAGAACCCACCCTATTTCGGTTCGGAAAATAAGAACTTAGGGTTAAAATTGGTAAAGCTCTCCGACACCGGTTCAGAAATTAAGAACCCAAGGAAAGCGACCTTGACTGGAAAATCAGGGCCGAGACTATAAGGACAAAAGTGATTGAAAATAAACTGGTTGGTCTAGCAAACGTGGTCAGACCTGGAGGTCAACCCAGAGCTCCCAGATCATACCGGTCCAAGTTCAAGAGGTCAGTTTCCCAGAGAAATCAGAAATTCCCAAAGGAAGAAGCTACCCTAAATCAGGACTGGACTGCCTCAAATGTGCCTAAGCATATCAGGCAGATCAGGTAATCAACACCGAAGAAGCAGACAAAGCTGGCATGAAGATGGTGCCGCAGACAGAACACATCAGAAGTATCAGGCGGTCATTGCAGCTAAATACATCGGCCGATGGGTCCACCCTTTTGCTTCATTTTGGGGGCATCCAGTGTACTCTTTTTCCCTTGCTAGGATTTTTTCCCAATGGGTTTTTTCCTAGTGAGGTTTTTAACGAGGCATCTCCCCATATGAACAAAAGGTGACGCCCCTCGACCCCTGGAGGAGTTATTACAAGGCAATCACTACTCTACTTCTCTCAATGTCACCACGCCCACCTCAAAGAATGAAGAATTTCAAGAATGAGAAAGGAATCAAATTACTCCTCTAAAATCCAGCCCTGTTGATTTTAAGGAGTAGGGGGCTCGTGATGGTACCATGGACTCTGACCATGGCCCAGTTACATAATCCAGCCCATAACGGGATCAGCCCTCTACGGGATTAGCCTAATTAACAGGATTAGCCCATTAGCGGGATCAGCCCATAAACGGGATCAGCCCATAAACGGGGTCAGCCCATCAATCGGGATCAAAGATAATAATCCGCTGAGCCTAATTGGGAATCAGGCCCACGACAGGAACCCATAGCCAGGCCGGGCTGGACAGCAGACCTCGAGCCCGGAGCAGGCCTCGAGCCCGGAGCAGATCTCGAGCCCGGAGCCGACCTCGGGGCTGGGCAAGCAGGCCTCGAGCTTTGGCAGAGTTCTAGTGAGGCCGGGATATTCCTAAGGTTTACGTAGCAAGCAGGACTCGTCCGGAGTTTGGAAACAAGAAGGAGACAACTAATGCTTAACGACCAAGGCATGAGAGGAGTTCTATTCCGAGCAAGAATATAGTTCATTAATTAGCATTTATTGTATTAGATTCCTCCTAAAATATCAACTCCTAAAACCTATAAATACTCATGTACATATCTTGTAAAAGGGGTCTCTCTCGAGATGAATAATACTCTTATTACTTTCTCACGATCAATGAATATTTGATTGATTAAGCTCTTTTCGTTGGAATTATATTCCATCAATAAAAAAATATAAATAATATAATATATGTATTTATAGGTAGATAATTAATATGCATTTATAGTTTTTTTTTACCCCCACCCCCCACCCACCCCCCAAAAGCCTGGGACCCCCCCTTCCCCACACCCAACGGCTATATAGCCGTTTGGGAGCCCTGCCCAATGGTTAGGGAGGTGTTTGGCTAGTTTTCAAATAAAAATAAAAATCTGACTGTTAGGCCCGAACCAGGCCGGGCCGGGTCACCATTCCCTAAACCCGAGCCCGCCCCCGTTGAACCAACCGGTTCGGGTCAATACTCGGTACTGGGACCGAAGGACTGGGTCGGGCCCGCACAGTAGCGGGCCGGGCCGGTTCACGGGTCGGGCGGCCCGAACCGAGTCCACCACTAGTCCCAGCTGTCCTTTTTTTACTTGCTCTCTTTGTCGTGCCTTCATAAGTGAATGGAAATATATCAAAATTTCTATCGCATAATACCTCCCTAAGTTACCTGTACCAAGCCTACTTAGTGCAACAATGAACATTACTTTTGGTAACTGAGACAACTTACTTGATATTTTGATACTAGTTTTGATGAATTATTAAGTCAAATAGTTGGTATTATTGAATATTCTTTTCAAAGTATGTATTGTTTTTGGTGTATAGGTGATAATTAGGACTAGATTTCTAGTATGAAATAGCTTTGTATCAGTTGTATTATTAAGTCAAATAGTTGGTATTATCGAATGTTATTTTCAAAGTATGTATTGTTTTTGGTGTATAGGTGATAATTAGGACGACCTCCTTCCCACTAACATGGGGACATAAGGAGGTGATGCCGTTAGTAAGAAAAGTAGGTTTATGATCGATAATTAATTGATAAAATAAGAATAAAGTAAGAATGATTTAGAGCAACACAAACTTTACCAAATTTGGTATGAGACAATCTTAGTGAGATGGACGAAAAAGAAAATATGTGACAATATTAGCGGGACAGAGAAAGTATTATTTAAAAAGGGGAAATACTATTCATAGCCATAAATTGCTATTTACAACCATTAATTTTTTTTTGAATGAATTCGGCTTTATTAATAACCAATAATTTTCAGAGTATGGGTCAAAAGACAGAAAGAAATCTGACAACCGTTATCCCTCGAACCAGACTCGGAATTAATCGCCGCAGCAATAAAATTCGATGATCCATAATTGGGAAACAAACCGCCAGAAACGGTCACCCTATTCCTCTCAATCCCCATATCCAAAATCAACGTCTTACAAACAGGAACAATAAAGAAAAAACAAATAACACAATGGGCATAAAAATTACTGGAAAAACAAACGAGACAAATAAAATAAATCTTCTTCATAACCCTAGATTTTCTTGCCTTCCATGGCGGTGGCTCGGGAGGGGGACGCGTCCGTCGCTCATCCACCATAACCTCAACATCAGCTTCATCTAGATTCAGTTCTTCTTCCTCTGCCCCATTCGCCATCCTCTTATATTTTTCCACGAAGCTATCCATGCAAAGATGTTGCTCTAACCTTCTGCCAGAAACTCCAGCCCTGCTCATTGTCGAGACCGAACACCTCGGACACAATTAAAGCAATCAACGAATGCCTTGCTCGAATCAACCAAGACAGATCCCAAAACGATTAGGTCGATGACCCCAATCCCAAAGAAGAAACAAAAACACGATCTGCTATGCCGAGATCAACAACTAACAGAAGAAAAATCCAAACTCGCACCACGACTGAACGATCGTGGCCAGACAAATGCCCCTAGGCAAACCCTTGGAGGCGGCGCTCTAGAGCTCACAACCATTAAATTAAATATCTACTTTGGTACTAATAAAGTAGAGTAGTGTAAATTGAAATTAACTTATAATTTAATTGCTATCAAGTCCAATCATTAAAATTCACAATTTTAGATTTTCCCCTCAAAATCTAACATTTACGGAGTGTTCTGATATTTAAGAAATGTTAATGATGAATAGACGAATAGTTCTAACATTTAGGGAATGTCCAATTCATTTGCGTAAACAATGCTGCTAAGTAGATAACTATCTCATCACAAATATTGCATCTCACGTGCATTATCTACTTAAATTACATAATTAAATAGTCTTTTGTTTTCCCTAAACACATCATCATTACCTATAGCAAATAGACCTCATATTATAAATCAAAGTGGAAATTACCTGGGAGGACCATTCTCTATAAACCTCTATCAATAATGTCCGTACTACCTTTTCTTTTCATATTTAACTTTTATATTTTCACTTTTGGTTTTTTATTTCAATTTTAGACGGTTACCTTCCAACGTTCTCCACCTATACCAATTTCCTTCCACCGCGAGTCTCCTCTTTCTTCCCGCTTCCTCTTTTCTTCTTCTCGAACTCATCTTTTCTCTTTCGTCATCTTCACGATAATGTCTACTGCAAATACTCCTCGTGTTACGAGATCTTCTCGGCTGAATATCGATGGAAGAACTTCAGATCGTCACAGTGCTTCTGCTTCCCCTGTTCGTTCTAGAAGTCCGAACTTGGCTCCTAAGAAGAGAAGAAACCAAAATGCTCCAAAGCCTCGCAAAAAAGCGAAGGTTTCCGTCAATGTACAAGCGAAGAACTCTGGTAAATCTGTTAAGGAACAAAAAAATAACAAATATCCTTCAACATTTAAGGTACTTCATCCGCTTTTGTTATATTTACAGTGCTTCTTCTCTTTTGCATGTGTACTTTTTGTTCTTGTATTTGAATTTGTTTTTTTTTAATTTTGTTTATTTAATTTTAATTTTGTTACTTTTTTTAAATCCAGGAGTGGCAGTATTTTGTTCCATCTGAATCGTGGTTTAACAGTAGAGTTTGTACTTTTAGCAAGGATTGCATTTCTGTAAATCTTAAGGCCAAGATGACTGATGTGCAATTGGGATTATTTAGGGAAACCTGCTTTGGTAAATTGTTGGATTTTCAAGACCTTAAATTGCAGCCTCAACTTGTGCATTGTTTGCTTTTGCGAGAAATTAGTCACAGTATTCCCAAGGAGATCTGGTTTGATGTTTCTGGCTTTGGTTTGCGTTTTTCAATTGCTGAATTTGCCGTTGTGACTGGTTTGAAGTGTAGTGGTGAATTTGATACTTCTACTATTCCTTCATCAGATAGTAATTCACTTATCAAAAAGTATTTCAACAATTGTTCTAAAGTTACTCGTGAAGATATTGAAACTTGTTTTCTTGGTCAAAAGGCTGATTGTGATGAAGATACAGTTAAAATTGGTATTCTGTATGTCCTTGGTCTGTTCTTCTTTACTTCATCTAAGGATAAGGTCATAAGTGAAACTTATTTGGCTATTGTTGATTCTGGTTTATGGGATTCCTATCATTGGGGGAAAGATCTTTTTGATGTGACATTACAGAACTTGAAGGGCAGACTTTTTGGAGCAGATGATTCGGAAAGTGATTATTTCTTTTATCGTATTTTAGGATTTCCTCTTGCTCTTCAGGTCTGGTTTTATGAGTGTTGTGGTTACTGCGATGGTGTGTTTGCTTGTAGATCTGTTTCTACTATTCCTCGAATGTTGTCTTGGCATTCTTCCATTGCACACACTTTCAAGAAGTTGAATATGGAACTTCTTTCTTTATCTGCCTCTCAGGTTTTTGTCTTACTTTTGTTTTCATTATTACTTTTTTGTTTTTATTATGATTTTATTCCATTTAATTTATTTTCATTTTATGTTTTTTATTTATCAGTTGAAGCTGCACAATGTTGAACTTACTGCCCTTGAAAGTGAATCACCTGAGTTGCATGCTTTGTTTTCATCTCATCCATTGAGGCCCCAAAATATGTCATCTGTTTCAAATGCTGGGGAGGGAACTAGTTCTTCTTTTGATGGTGTATTTTCGAACTCTGTTCTACAGGCTTTTGAAAACCGGCTTGACACCAAACTTCTTGCTTTCAAAGAGTTTGTTCAGGGCGAGTTTACTGATTTAGAACACAAGCTTGACCGTGTTATTTCACTTTCCCATGTTCAATCTTCCAAACACACAAATTCTGATTTTTTTCTCTCGTGATATAAATCAACATGTAGAAGAACCTGTAGTTACTAATTCTGTTAGTGATGATGATGTTGATACTGCGAAAGGTCTTTCTGATAATGATAATGACTTTGATATTCTTTCTGCTGGTGGAGATGTAAATGTTGATCTTCATTCTGGTCAGTTAGATGAATCACTGATATCTGCTGACCCTAATGGACATGCCTCAGATGATACACAGGTTATGGATTGTTCCTTTTTTCATTTTGTGTTCATTGTTTAATTTTGTTTCACTGTTGTTTCTCTGCTTTCTTTCTTTTTATGAAATTCTTTATTTCCATGCTTTTAATCTCATTGATCCTTTCTGTTATCAGATTGCGGATGATGTTCCTGACATGACCCGTCATTTGCAGCAGTTGGAGTCTAAAGATTCTGATATTTTCCTTCATTTCATATATGATCTTGTGTTCTCAACATTTATTTATTGCATGTCGGCCGAGAATGATACTGTTTTGATGGCTTCTGTTGAAAATCAGGTTTTTTCTACTGTGACTGAGTTACATTATGCTGAATTTGATAATGCTTTGATCCACTCATTCCAGAACATGGTTATTTCTACTGTTGTTGATTTCATGAGTACTGAAAACCAAACAATTGACCATACACTAACTTCTGCTTGTGATGATGTTGTTGAGGATGATGTTGTTGAGGATGATGTTTTCTTTGCTGAGCTTGATTCTCTTGTTTCAGATTTTAAAAATTCCAAGGTTTTCACTTTGTATTTTGTCTTGTTTCTTTTATATATTCTGATTTTATACTTTTATATATTGAAATTCATTTTTTATTTTGTAGTCTTCTAGCAATGATCCTTATTTAGGTTCTTCAACTGCTTTGATGGCATTAGTTCCTTATGTGCCATTTTTTCCTCCCATTTCTGTTGAGCATACATCTGAGTCATTGCTTAGGAAAAAGAGGAATGTGAAGCCGAGTACTTTTGTCAAATCTCCTTTTGTTGCGGAGTTTGATTCTGGATGTGGGTCTGTCCAGCCTTCTACTGTTAATCTTCCATGTCCTTTTGCTGATGAGGCAGTCTATGTGCCACCCCTTCTATTCTTGGTGCTTTTAACATTTGGATTGATGAAGGAGCTTATAAGCGTAAAAGGTTGTTTATAATATAGCAATATCTTACATTTCAGTTTTATTATAGTTTGGTTTTTGACATATTGTTTATCATTTTGTAGATCGAAGTTGATGTATCCTTCTAAAGTTGATCATCTCACCCTTGGATATGATTTTACTGTTGCTTTTGTGGAATCGAAGACATGGTTCCACTCTCTTTATTATTTGGGACAGTTGATATCAGATTCTGGACGTTTACTTGCTTTTTTAAATAATTTTATTTTGAGTTCATATTTATTTATTAGTTTCTGATTTCCTTTTTTCTTGCAGCATTTAGATGTGATCTTTTATTACTTCAGGAAGAAGGCTGAAGTTACTAAGACTTGCAAAATCAGTTTCACAACAACTGATACTCTTTTTAATGTGAATGTACTGAAAGCATATACTGCAACCCCAGATAAAACATTTTCTTGGTCCAAGTTTGCAGGTCTATGTGATTCTATTGTAGGGCTTCAATTGCCCTGTTCAAAAGCTTGGGAAGAAGTTGACCATGTTTTATGCCAATTTACATTAAGACGCAGATGCATTGGATTCTAGCTAGATTTTGTATTAATGATTGGTGCATATATGTTTATAATTCCATGGTCAGTCCAAGGGATATAGCTCATGCTACAGATGCTGTTAAGCCATATACTGTGATTCTGCCTTTGTGTTTTAGACACATGGACCACTTTTATAAACGTGCAATGGATGTTAATAAGAACTTAGATGTGAAATTCATGACTAACTTGCCTGTTCAAGAATCAGCGTAAGATTATTTATCTTATCATACTGATTTTGTTTTGTACATTATCCCATCTATTACTAATACAAATATTGATTTTGATTATTCTTTTTTTAGTGACTGTGGGGCTTATGTTGCTGCTTTTGCTGAATACTTCATTGATGGCATAGAGATTCCTCCATTTTTGGATATTGAGCTATACAGATCGAGGCTTGCCTATTTTCTTTATCAGTATGGAGTGTCTAAGCTTAATGGTGAAGTGCAGAGTGATGGTGATGAAGGCAAACGTAATCGCAAGCGCAAGAAGCTGAAGAATTAGATAGATGTAGTTATGAGTAATCTTTGTATTGTAAACATACTTTTGTTAAGTGGCTATATATTTTTGTTTTTTTGTGGAAATGTAATGCTATATGAAATGCTTCCTATGAACATCTGTTGTATACTGATGTCATACACTTCATGTATTCTATATACCAATATATGACTTATATTTTCCTTGTTTCTTTGTGTTTCCATTACTACTTTATTCTTGTTTATTTCTGTTTCTTATTTCCTTGTTATATTCCAAGTCTGTTTTTTAGCCTTTTGCTTGCTTATTTTTCTGTACAGAATTTGTATTGATTTTTCCATCTTATTGGTATAGCTTATTTTTTTATTCTGTTATAGTTTGTTGTTGTTTTTTCTTGTTTCATTTTTAATTCAGTACTTGTAATTTTCCTCGTGTACTATATGCACCCAATCATATAGAATTATGATTTTTATTGTTCACACTTATCCTCTTTTTAATTGACTTTTAACACAAGTAATAAATATAAGTTACAAAACACTTCCCAAAATCGTTTCTAAAATTGTTTTGAGTTGTTTCTTATTGTTTCTGGTCTCATACATAATTCGAGATTTGTACTTAAAAAATATAAAATGAATACACGGTCATATAGAATTCAAACACAGTCATATAAAATTGATACTAATAGTGTTCATGCACATTTGAATTGAACTTCAACAGAAATGATAGATACAAAAATTGCTAAAACAGTTCTCAAACTAGCTATAGTATCTACTTTTGCGGTGCATTCCTGCATGTCTTTCTATTATGTCCTTGCTTTCCACACTTCCCACATTTGTTTGTTGTGGTAGTCTCCCAGTGTGCTTTATATCTCTGCTTTTTCGGCCTTCCCGCCTTCTTCCTTGCATGTGGTGGATAAACTTGCAAAATTGGGTCTGACATATACACTTGCCATGTTTTTTGATCTGGAATAGGATGCAGTGTCTCACTGTAAGTTTGCAACAATGTTTTCTTTGTGTAGTAAGATGAACAAAAAATGTACGGCTCTTGATTTTTCTTTTTTAGTACTGCCAGTGCATGCATACAAGGCAATTCTTCCATTTGAAACCTTCTACAAGTGCACGTTTTGTCATCTAGATTAACAATGAAGATTCTGTTCATTTCATAAACACTGAATATCACCTCATTAGAAGGAACCACCTGCAAATAAAATTTGATACGAAATACTATTATTTCAGATTTTATATAAAAAATTAAGAACTTTATGTCTAAATTATATACCTTCAGTTTCATGCCTTTGATGTAGTTCTGTTCTAAAGTTTCATGAGGAACTTTTGCAAGTTATGTGAATGTATTTCTTGCACCATTTCTGTTTACATGTGTCCATATCTTCTATTATACAAAAGGAGGAGAAAAAAGGAACAGTGTTCCCGCCCAAAGTGTTGTTTAGAAAACGGGTCGGGTCGGGTTTTAACAGGTCGGGTGGGTTTTAACAAAAGGCTAGCAGCTGGATCTTCAGAGTGACATTGAATGCAGGAACGGGGCTCCATAAAGTGTTGCAGTCCATAAGTTCAGCTTTTGACTTTTCAAACTTGGTGGCTCAAAATTGTGTGGCTCAATGCTGTCCAAAAGAGCCGTCCTTTTAATTCAGCATACAGTTGGCGTGCAAACTGCAGAGGATTAAATTAAATATTTAGTTTACAGTAGTCCCCTATTGTTTTCTATTCAGATGTCATGTCATCATAAATGGGAGAAAACATACTATTAACCATTGGGTAATTTGTGAAAGATGATAATGGCTCTTTAAAGATTTAAGTATAAATACAGCCCTATGATTTTAACAACATCACACAACAAAGCAACTAATTGGTAATGAGCTTATTTTTTTTGACGGGGCCATACAAGACTTGATGTTCCTCATTATTCTAAGTGTGTGAACCTAAAATTTCCATGAACAGGTAATGAGCTTTTTTTTAACGAAGGTAATGAGCTCATATTTTCCATGTCTTCACTGATGTGTTCAACAAAGGGCTGAGGCCAACATTCATTAAAATCGACAGGAATGATGGATATATATGCATCACGGGGTAATCAATAACATCAAACTAATTGGTAAGTCTTGATTTCTATGACCAGATTTTATTACAGTTATTTTTTTATTTTTTATATTGCAGGATTGATAGTGAAACAAATAGGCTAAGAGACATATGCAGCACAATCAACATTCAAGAGTAAGGTGTAAAGGGGAAGCTCAAATACAAAATAGGTAGATGAGATTCCTTTTGGAAGATCATATTGTTTAGAAGTACAATATCAGTATGTAAAAGACACTTTTTTATATTTAACCTTTCCTATGTTATCAAACTATATTAGTTAATAAACCAGGTGCAAGTTATAGTGTGTCAACATCAACAGTATGCTTTAATGAAATAATTAGAAGATTAAAAGATTAAGGTCATACCTGAGGTTTAAGGTGAGCGAAAATTGAACCCTGCGCTCCCTATTCATGAACTGTAAAAGGTTTAAATGAAGTATTGTTTTTCACAAACACTACCTGAAAGCAGTTCAATTATGTAATGAGCATGGTCATCTGTAATGATATGATGTATTCTAAACGGAGTCCTTTTATTTAAGTCACAATGAATGGGCATAAACAAAGTATCCCATGGGTTACATGTTATAAATGCTTTTATACAGTATATAGGTAAATATAAACATCTTGACAATGAAAATGATCAGTCAAATGAAGTGTGCAGATGTGTCCATGCCTATAACATCATAAACTTTTATAGTAATTATTAATAGGTCTTATGTAGGGTAGCAGACTCTTCTGGCTGGCGGGCTGGCAGAAATAAGAACAACATGTTTCCTATAATTTAAGTAAAAAAAAATAAACTTTAGGACATATTATGTTAACAACCAATTCATATTTTTTATAATTAAATGTGTTATTATCATTAAGCACAATGAACTACAAAGTTTCACATATTTTTTGGGAATAAAGCTCCAGTTACATAGGTTCAATATATAAACTATTACTCTATTCCAAAATTATTGATATTAACACTTCTTTTCATTTCAAATACAAACTTTTCAAAAACAAAAGGTGCAGCACTACCCATTTTAATATAAATTCTACTGTCTTGGCCTTTTAAAAATATATATTTAATTAAAAAACTTAGTTTCAAGTTAGTTTTGAATTAATCTATTTCAAATGTGTACCAGACACATGATTCAAATATCACAGCCCATCTTAATTAATTAAAAAATCTTTCAAGTCACATTGAACATACAAATTCATTTTTTATAGGGTTTAAAAGAGGGTATTATATCACAGAACAAATACATGCTCGGTTAACCTAAAATTTAACAATTGTTTGCATTTAAAACCCTATATGTGAGAAGATGTGAGAAGATTTGTACACCCATAAGCAAAAATATATAGGTTAGGTAAAATAAATAAATCTGCTAAAGAGGTTTTTTGTTGAAACAATACAGATTTAGTCTACAACATAAATTTGTTAAAATGCATTTTTATAGACACCGTATGGAACTATACATGTAAATGGCCACAATAACATATGCATGCACTCGAAAACTGATACAGAAATTGGAATACATAACCTTTCAACAAAACCCACTTAAACGACAGAGATGAAGGGTATATACCAAAATCATAAACGGATGGCAAACGTGGTCGAAAATTCTTGAATTCAGCTCATCCACCAAACGGCGCCATCGACTGTAGGATTGAAATGGATGAGGCACACTAATCGATGACTGTTTTGGAGGACGAAGTTCTGGAAGGAGATTACGGACTGTTGGTCAGAAGGAGATGACGGAATTACACGAGGGCAAAGGAGAAGAAGGGTTTAGATACGGTGTGATAGGTTTGGGTCGCTGGGCTGAGGAGATTTAACATATGTTATTGGGTCGGGCTGATTAAAGTTTATTAAAAATGATGACATTTGAACTTCAGGTCTAAATTGGGCCGTGTAGGATAGAATCATATCATCTACAAATACTCATTTGGCATGTGAAGAATGAGAATAATTGTGTGTTATTATTAGGGATAATTTGAGTTTGCACCTCATTTTATTGTCCAAATTGGACTTTGCACCCCGTTTTTAAAAATATTTGTTTTTGCACCCCAACCCCATATGAAAAGACAAAAATGCCCCTCCATTAACAATTGTGTTGGTCTTCAACATATTCCTGATTGAGGGCATTTTTGTCTTTTCATATGGGATTGGGGTGCAAAAACAAAAATTTTTAAAAACGGGGTGCAAAGTCCAATTTGGACAATAATATGGGGTGCAAAGTCAAATTAACTCTTATTATTATTAGGCTAAAGGGTCAAATAGACCCTCGAACTAATTTAAAAAGTGCAATTCACCCCTTATTTAGGAGGCTCTATCCGGCTGTCACCAATTGGGGTGATTCCCGGTGGAATTTTTTGATGAAAATTTTTGAACATGTTCTTCATTAAGTCTAGCTTACTCATACAAAATTTCAGCTAAAAATTCAATCGAGAAGACAGTCAAATGAATTTTTGAAGATAATTGCGCAGTTAAAAAGCGCAGTACATTTCAGAAAATCATTTGACTATCTTCTCGGTTGAATTTTTATCTGAAATTTGGTATGGGTAAATCAGACATAGTGAAGAAAATGCTAAAAAAATCATCAAAAAGTTCCACCAGGAACCGCCCCAATTGGCGACGACCGGACAGAGCCTCCTAAATAAGGGGTGAATTGCACTTTTTAAGTTAGTTTGATGACCTATTTCCCTTTAGCCTTATTATTATTATTATCATTATTGTTATTATTGATATTATCATTATTTTATTAGTATTATATTTTTATAACCTTTTTATTATAATATTTTTATGTTATATTATTTTTATTATGATTATCATTGATGTTGATAATTAGTACATCATACTACGTATATTATCAAAATATGATTCATTGACTCTTATTT